GGGGCGGGGCTGCCGCTGCCCGCCGGGGCCGCCCTATCCCGGCGCAGTGAGGCTCGGCGCTGTTACGTGTAGAGTCCTTCTGGCTAAAATGTAAAGTTCAGATTGGACCAATACTGTAAGTGACTCTCCTGTCAGTTTCACGTGGGCACCGGGGGCTTTTGCAGGCGCGCAGGCTGTCAGCGCTCGCGTCCAGGAAGAAGATTCTCCAACCCGAGAGCACCCTGGGCTTGCGGCCGTCCTCCTTTTCCTCCTCCTCCTCCTCTCCTTCATCCTCCTACCCCCCCCTCGTCTTGCCGCTGATGTTTCACACCCACCGGGCCATTGGCTCCCGAGACGTTGTTGAGTTTCCAATGTCCTCTCCTGGGTGAGGCGTCCGGCCACTCCAGGGAAGGGTCAGCCTTTATTGCATTCCCAGGGTGCCTCCCTTCCGTCAGTGTCCAGTTAACTGTATTCAGTTCCTCGCTCTCTCTCCTTTTAGGGCTTTTCCCCAGGCATTTTTGGAGCCTTTTGATTCAAGTCTGGCTACCTAAGACATTTTTAGGCCAGTGTTGCTTGTAGCTTTAAAAGCTTCCAGCAGCTTGTGATAACGTTTGAGACGCAAGTTTAGATGAGATGATGCTGTTTGGGTGCAGTTATCCTGAGTAGGAACGGCCTAGGGGTGTCTTACAGTTTTTATTAATTTCTCTTTTATTTAAGGATAGGCAGGATGCGAAATGGTGAATTTCCGTGATCATTGACTATTGTCCATTAAAGCACTTCTTAGATTTTAACACAAATTTCTTCCCTTAAGTAATGGGTCAGTCATGACCGAGATATGAAGGCGGTGCCATCCTTAGGCTAATTGTTTTGAAATTTGAGATCAGGAATGGCCATGTGATTATACTTTTGAATTGCAAATCGGTAAGAAAGAAGGAAAGTTTTGTGGCTGTCATTTAAGTGGTAGAGTTTTGCTTTGTTTTGTTTTTGCTTACTTCTCCGCTTTCCCATGATCCACCAAATGTATATATCCTGATAGTTTCCTTTTTAACTTGTCTTCTGGGAGTCTCCAGTTAATGTGACCCTCACACTTGGCTCTTGACCTGATGGCCACTGGCCTGGATCCTGGAGGACCTCCTAGTGAGAGGCCCAGAGCATTGCTATTAAGGATGACTGGGAGAACACATCATAAGGGGTGAGCTGGACACAGAGATAAATTTTGAGGGGGAGGGACATTGGAACCTCCCTGACTGGATTTGGAAGTCAAAACATGTGTATTGGAAGAGTATCCCAGAGAGTGGGGAACTATACCCTTTTGGATGAAATTAAGAAGTTTACTGGGAGGAGCCCAGGCCTTCCAGGCTGTGTTAATTTTTGCTCTGGGCCTTGTCTTTTTCTGGAATTTTTATAGTGGAGACATGTAGAATCAGTTCAGGTGGTATAAGAGATCATTCACATCAGTTCTTCAGTAATTCATTTGTTCACTCATCTTGTGCACATACTGTGAAAGGAAAGATGCGTAAGACATGATCTCTGCTTTTACGCTTTCATCCCGTTTGCTTCAATCCAGTTTGTAGGAGATTGATTATATGAGAGTGAGATTAGTGCTGTGGCAAGGTGTGCAGAAGTGTCTCAGGAGTTGAGAGATGGGCAAATGGCCCAATATGGGACTTGAGGAAGACTTCCGAGAGGAGATCATACCTGAGCTGAGTTTCATAGCCTGCACTTGAATGGGCTGGAGAAAGGAAGGGGATTATGTGAGTTGGGGACAGCATTTGCACACTGCAAAAGCATGGCACATGGTCGATTGGTTTGGCTGGGCAGGAGAGGTTGAGGTGGGTAATCACCAGATAGGAGGCTGAGGAGGTTTGAAAGGGCCATATTAGAAAGGGTCTGGTGAATCATCTTGAGGGAGATTGAAATATATCTCCAGGGCAACCAGTGATACTCTCAGACTTACATCTTAGACTTATGTTTAGGAAGTTAATTTTGGCTGCAGGGTAGAGAATGAGTTGGGAAGGTGAAGTCTGGAGAGAAGCTTTTGAAGTAATACAAGTGAGAGGTAGGTTAGGGTAATAGGACGGGGATGGAAAGAGATTAGGAAAGTAGAATGGTTAGGAATTAATTCCTGATTGAATGTAGGAGATGAAGAAGGAATGTAGTCCAGGTACCATGGGGATCTAGAAGGCATTCTCAGATGAGATATTTTGTAGCAGCTTTATTGAGGAATAATTACCATATAATAAACTGTACACTTTTAAGGTGTGTACTTGGAGAGGTTTTGTTCATGTCATAGTATCTTTGTTCATTTGAAAAAATGAAGTTTTCTTCTATTGAGTTTTGAAAGGTCTTTATTCCCATTATAAGTTCTTTATCACATGTGATTTGCAAATATTTTCTCCTATTTTGATACTTGTGTTTTCATTTTCTTTTGAAAGCAGAGTTCTTAATTTTGATGAAGTCTAACTTATCAATTTTTAATTTTGATGAATTCAGTTTTAGAAATTTGATTTTTTATGGATCGTGCTTTCTGTATTGTATCTAAGAAACCTTTACACAACCTTAGGTTTCAAATATTTTCTCCTATTTCTTAAAAAATAAGTTTCATTGCCGGGCACAGTGGCTCATGCCTGTGATCCCAGCACTTTGGGAGGCTGAGGCGGGAGGATTACTTGAGCCCAGGAGTTCAAGACCAGCCTGGAGTTGGAGTTGTAGCGAATATATACATTAATTTGAGGAAGAACTGATGTGTTAAATATTGAGTCTTCTGACCCATAGACACAGTATTGCTGTTCATTTATTTAAGTTTTCCTTAATTTCCCTAGGTAAAGTTTCATAGCTCTCAACTAGTGAGACCTTATCTCTACAAAAAAATAAAAATTAGCTACGTGTGGTGGCGTGTACCTGTAGTCCCAGCTTCAAGGGAGGCTGAGGAGGGAGGATCACCTGAGCACAGGAGTCCGAGGCTGCAATGAGTTGTGATTGTGCTACTGCACTTCAGTCTGGGTGACAAAAGTGAGACCCTGACTCAAAAAAAAAAATCAAGTTTCATGATTTTTTGTTTTAAATTAAACCTATGATCATTTTTAAGTTAATTTTTAATACATGTTGTGAAATATGGAACAATTTTGTTTTGCATATGGGTATCTAGTTGTTCCAGCACCAGTTGCTGAAAAGCCTATTTTTTCTCCATTGAATTGCCTTTGCACCTTTGTTCAAACGTCAGTTTGCCATATATGTGTGGACTCATTTTTGTATGCTTTATTTTGTTCCATTGATCGCTTTGTCTATTTTAATGCCAATACCATATAGTTTGATGTGGTTATAGCTTTGTAATTATGGAAATCAGCAAGTAAAGGCCTTCAACTTTGTTCTTTTTAACATTTGTTTTGGTTATTCTAAACCCTTTCTGTTTCCATATGAATTTTATAATTTTATAATTTATAAATGTAATTTGTAATTTGCCATATAATTTTATAATCAGTTTGTCCATTTCAAAATAAAGACCTGCTTAGATTTTAATTAGAATTGTATTTAGTATATACATGAACTTGAGGGAGACTTGACATCTTAAATACTGAGTCTTCTGACCCATGAACACAGTATATCTGTTCATTTATTTAAATCTTCCTTAATTTCCCTAGGCAAAATTTCATAGCTCTGAATATATAGGGCTTATACATTTTTGTCAGATTATCTATAGGTATTTTCTATTTTTGATGCTATTGTAAGTGGTATTGTCTTTTAAAATTTTAATTTCTAATTGTTTGTTGCTACTTGTATATTGATCATGTATCCTGCAATCTTGCTAAACTACTTATTCTCGCAGTTACTGATCAGGCCCAGCCCTACTTAGCTCCTAAGATCAGATGAGATAGGACATGTTCAGGATGGTATGGACACATTCAGGATGGTATGGCCCTAGACTACATATTAGTTCTAATTGCTTTTTTTAAAAAAAGCCACCAGATTTTCTATGTAGGTGATCCTGTCATCTGTGAATAAAGATAGTTTTACTTCCTTTCCAATGAGGATGACTTTTATCTTTCTTGCTGTAATGCACTGGCTAGAACCATATCTTTGCAGAGAAGTGATGGAGAGCTAATATCATGTCTTATTCCTGATCTGTGGGAGAAGCATTCATTTTTGTCACTAAATAAGGTCTGTCATGTTAATTGTATTTTTTTTGTAGAAGCCCTTTATCAGGTTTAGGAAGTTTCATTGTATTCCTACTTTGCTTAGAGTTGTTTTTTTATTTTTTTTTTAAAGGAATAGCAGATGTTATATTTTGTCAGTTTGTTTTTTTGTAACTGTTGTGATCGTATTTTTTAAAAAGACTTTTAATATGGTGAATTATATTCATTACTTTTTTTGGGAAATGTTTAACTTTACATTCATAAGATAAAACCTATTGGTAAAGACATATTCTTTTTTATATATTGTTGGATTCTAATTGTTAAAAATTTTAAGAATTTTTGCATCCTTATGATGGATATTGATCTATAGTTTTCTTTCCTTATATTAAGTTTTGTTATCTGGGTAAATCTGACCTCACAGAATGAGTTGTAAAGTATTTTTTCCTCTTCGCGTTTTCTGGAAAAGCCTATGTAGAATTGGTATTATTTTTTCTTTAAATGAATTCCTTAAATGTGGAATTCATTAACGAAGCCATCTGGGCCCGGAGTAGTAGTTGTTATTTTGTGGGGGTGGGGGAGAGGAGTTTAAATACAAAGTCATTTGATTAAATATATACAATACTGTTCAGTTTATCCACTTCATTTTTTCTCCAGCTTTATTGAAGTATGTTTGGCAAGTAAAAATTGTATATATAAGGTGTGTAATATGATGCTTTGATATACATTTACATTGTGAAATGAGTACCATAATCATACCCATTTAAAAAAATTGGGTTACTTATTTATGTTGTTATTCAGTTGTATATTTTCAGATTTTAAACCCTTATTGATATATGGTTTACAGATATTTTCTACCATTTTATAGATTGCCTTTTCATTTTGTTGTTTGTTTCCTTTACTGTGCTACTACAGCTGCTTTGATGTAGTCTCACTTGTTTATTTATTGTTTTTGTTGCTGTGCTTTGTTTTTGTTGCCTGTGCTTTGGATGTTATATCCAGAAAAATAATTGTGAAGACCAACGGCAAGGAATTTTCATCTTTGTTTTCATCTAGAAGTTTGAAGGTTTAAGGTCTTATATTTATGTCTTTAGTCCATTTTTGAGTTGAGTTTTGTTTATAGTGTAAGGTAAGGGACCAATTTCATTCTTTTGCATATGGATGTCCAGTTTTCCCAATGTAATTTATTAAAAAGACTATCTTTTTCCCTTTGTGAATTCTTGATGCCTTTGTTGAAGATTAATTGATTGTTTAT